GAAAGTGGGTCACGAGTGTGATTAGTAGAGGGGTTAGTGCCAAGGGATTGAATTAGTATTTATTAGTAGTCATTGCTTAGAGATTGATACATTGATTTTTGTCTTAGATCTTGATCATGATTTGAATCACCCAAGTCATATTGCCTTAGTCTTATATCTTACCTTTTATTAATTCGAACTTGCTTAGTGTTTTCTCTGTTTTTCTTGCCATTAGAATTGCTCTTGTTTACTTTTTAAGACTTGGTTACTTTGATTACTTGTTTACACTGGTTGCTTTATTGAATGTAAAATAAAAATTGAACCTCTTTATTGTCTAGCTTAGGAAGATTGTTGTGTCTTTTTTGTACCTCCCTAAGCTTTGATTAATTAACTCATTTGCCACTATACTACATCTAGTGCAATGAGATTTACTATGCATAAAAATCCGTGTGTCATCAAGTATCCGGATTCTGATATCTATTGGAAGAAGCTCGATGAGAAGTACCACTTCTCTTCCCAGTTCACGGCTGATCTTATCGCCATGAACCACACAGATTTCATCTTCACAAGTACTTTCCAAGAAATTTCTGGAAGGTAAAGAGAGAAGAAGAAAACAATAAACATGCATATATAATATTTATTACTAAACTGTGTTTCGTTTTGCAGAAAGGACATTGTTGGTTAGTATAGAGCCACACAGCCTTCACACTTCCGGGGCTTTACCATGTGGTTCATGGTATTAATGTGTTTGATCCCAAGTTCAAAATTGTCTCTCTTGGTGCGGATATGAGCATCTACTTCGCTTACACAGAGGAGAAGCGTAGATTAACCTCATTTCACTAAGATATAGAAAAGCTTCTCTACAGTGATGTTGAGAATGAGGAGCATCTGTAAGCTTTTGGTGTTGATCTTTTAATATGTTTGAGTGTCATGAGAGGAAAAATCTAACCTTTCTTCTTACGTTTTAAAAACAGATGTGTGCTCAAGGACAAGAACAAGGAAATCCTCTTCACAATGGCTAGGCTTGACCGTGTTGCGGGAAGAATGCTCGCCTGCACAAACTTGTTAGCTTAGTGGTTATGGGTGGAGACAGGTGAGAAGAGTCACAAGACAACGAAGAGAAAGCCGAGATAAAGAAAATGTAATGTATGATATAATTAAGGAATACAAACTTAATGGACAATTCAGATGGATCTCCTCGCAGATGAACACAATGAGAAACAGTGAGCTTTACTGTTACATTTGTGACACCAAAGTGATGTAGAATTGAAAATGGCTATAAGTGTACTCCCTTGATTCTGACCTTCAAGCTTAGATAGATGGAGGAATGGTTGATGATTTGTTAACCAGTTTGTTGGCTGAATCTATAGACAACGACTTGAGACTCTAAATAACCAAGGGCTAATCCTCACAAGGTTATTAAAACTCTCCACAAATTATACTCTCTGATTCCACAAAGTGTTTAATATGCAAGAAAAATTGTTTTCAAAAGAATTCTCTCTTTGAAACAAATAAAATACTTTTTCATTAATAAATTTCGTGGTGAACTCTAGGTGAGTTGAGTATGCTCTCCAAGTCCAGTTTGAGTCTGAATGCACAGAAGGATTGAGGTCTAGAAAGAACAAATCATGAAAGATAGTCTCTCCTTTATTCATGATATGTTCTCCAAGAGAGACCGTCTCTCATTTACCCTTGGCTAGACCATCATGTCCGTTGATCCTCAGCTCCATTATTAATGCTATCCTAAATATTGCATCATACTCTCCTTCTTCAAAAAATTTTGTCCTTAAAACTTGTTTATCTGCATATAGATAATTCAAGCTAATATCTTCAAATAAATGAGAGTTTAGAACATTACCTTGGGTAGAGGTTGGTGTATGGTTCAGGTGTAGTTGATGCGGTGCATCTGGTGGTTCTTCCTTGATCAGAAACGAAACAATGACTCCTCTCCAAGGTTTGTTGATGGTCTCCTTGGGCAGCAACACATTCTTCATTGTGAGATCTCCTATTTCACATTTTGTGTTTCCTTTAGGTTCTCCTTGGAGTATATATTGGTATTCTGATGGCTCATGTTTCATGTACATCTCCTTTGTTCCTGCATAAATCTCTACACTTCTGACAAGAGGCAAGTGCATTAAAAAAGTCATAGAGTTATTAAAAACAAATGGAGAAATTTTAGAATTGAACCTTTGCCTTTTCAATAGTTGAAACAATTTCTTGTTTCTTATAGACTTGTTGCTCAAAACTGGGCCTTTGTCTTGTGGCTATAGCTGGTGTTCCTTTTGAAGCTCTTGGTCCCTATGTCCTTATAGTACCTGCAATGTTATCAACACTTTTGGCAAGAAACAAGTGCATTATATAAGTCATGGATTCAACATTGACATGTAAACAAGTTTTAGGATGGAACAATTCATTAGTTTGAATTTTGGAAGTTGTTTGTTCTCTATATATTTTTATTTTCAGAAAATGATTTGGCTTCTTAGAATTTTTAAAAGAATATAAATATTCTTCATACTCTTCTGGATTTAATAAACTTATTAACACAGCCTTAAAATCATTGCATATTGATTGAATCAAATGACTACTTAATTGATTAAGCTCCATGGTGAGTTTGTTTTTGTTGGCTACCACAACATGTTGGCTTTGTGGTTCATTCAGCTCGTGTTTGGATTCCTTGGGGCTTATTCCCTTATTCATGTCCTCCATAATATTATCAATACCTGTATGAACAACCTTGGGCAAGGACAAGTTCATGATACTAGAATTAGAAAATTTTAAATCTGTTTTAACTAAGCTATCACATGAATTACACAAATTCGGTTCAGGCTATAGTGATGTTGATTTTACTTATCTATTAGGACATAATGCAGCAAAATGTCCTCTCTTATGACATCTATAACATGTAGGTTCATTTTCTTTCCAAGACTTAGAAAACTTACCTTGAGTATCTCTGCTTTTTGGTTTAAGTGGAGGTTCTGAACTTATCTTTTGTGCTCCTTCTTGTGTTCTTGGAGGTTTATGAGCGCCTTTTGGTGGTACCACTAACTTAGATGTTATCCTGTTTTCTTGATAGTTTGGGTATCACGTTCTTAGGTTCAAGACAAGGAGTATTGTTTGGCTTTGCTCCTGGATTTGATCTTGTTGCTAGAATCCATCTCCTTGGCATAGGGTTTTAATCAATCTTCACATAGTATTGCTTGTTGACTTCAGCATCCCTAACAAATTCTTCATACATAGACTTCTTCATGTCTTCCCATGAAAAGGCTGGTTCATCAAACTCAAGCTTCATGTATTCTTCATTATCCCAATGCCTAAATGCACCTTCAGTAAGGGTAGCTTCAGTATATGATGTTTTCTCCTCCTCTGGAATTTGGTTTGATAAAAACAATTCTTCTATGTCTCTTTCCCATCTTAGATATGCTTCTGGTCCTTGGCTATGGCCTGAAAAGATGATGTATTGTGGTTCTGGTTCCTCTTCTTCAAATTATGATTCATCACAAAAGCTATCTTCTGCTTCAGCTTCATTGTTCCAATGTTCTTCATCAAGCTGATCAGTTTCTCCTAAACTGAGATTGGACTGAGTTTCTTCACACCAAGGTTGGTCTACATGGTAAGGATCCACGAAATTATCTTGTTCTTCCTCCTGATTGAACTCCTGACATTCTGTCTTTCTTTGGTGCTCTCCTTCTAGACTGATTTGAGATTCAGTCTCTTCACACCATGAATCACCTTCATGGTAAACTTCTTCTTGGTTGTTTGTGCCATCTTGGTAATAATCTGGTGGATCAGGTTCAAGCTCTCCACCACGTGGTTCATCTTCAAAATTCGGAGCCTGAATAGTCACCTTCATGCCATGCTTCTTCTCCATAATCTACCTCAGTGGTGCTTAGGCCTTCATTAAAATCATTCTCTTGGCTCCAATTGGTATCTTGTTCAGCTTCATAGAACTCTATTGTTTCCTATGTATCTCGTGTCCAAAGACAAAAGAGAAGTTATCAGATTGCAAATCAACACAAAAGGAAAGAGCAAATAGTGGCCAAAACATAAAAAGGGAAAATGTTTATTTTCTTTTTCTTTAAATTTAATTTAACCAAACAGAATGACTATTTTTATTTTCTTTTTATACAGTAGGATGAAATATATCAGAAAGTAACACAAACAAACTTTTTATTTTGGTTTTTATTTTTCTTTGAAATTCAAAACACCGCAAGAAAACAATTGTTTCAGAATTTTTTTAGTTTTTGGTTTCTAAATAATCAAATTACTCAAAATGAAAGCAAACAACATTTTATATATTTATATATATATATAACAGAAAAAGGAATAAAGAACAAAATTGATTTTTATGGTTTTTTCTTTTAAGGATTGAAAGAAATAAAATAACAAAGCAAAAATAATGAAAGATAGAGGTTGAAATAGATATAACCTGATGATAATAGCTTTTCGCTTTGATACCAATGATGTAGACTTGAAAATGGTTTCAAATATACTCTCTTGATTCTGACCTTCACACTTAGATAGATGGAGGAATGGTTGATGATTTGTTAACCAGTTTGTTGCCTGAATCCACAGGCAATGATCTGAGACTCTAAATAACCAAGGTCTAATCCTCACAAGGTTATTAAGACTCTCCACAATTTATACTCTCTGATTCCACAAAGTGTTTAATTTGCAAGAACAATTATTTTCAAAAAAATTCTCTCTTTGAAACAAATAAAATACTTTTTCATCAATAAATTTCATGGTGAACTCTTGGTGAGTTGAGTATGCTCTCCAAGTCCAGGTTGAGTCTGAATGCACGGAAGGATTGAGGTCTCGAAAGAACAAATCATGAAAGATAGTATCTCCTTTATTCATGATATGTTCACCAAGGGATATCGTCTCTCTTTCACCCTTGGCTAAACCATCAAGTCCATTGATCCTCAGCTCCATTGGTGATGCTATCCTAAATATTTCATCACAAATGTGCATTTGTGCAGCCTGCTCTGTATGAAGCCTTTGGTTTAACTGTTGCTGAGGCTATGACCTGTGGGTTACCGACATACGCCACTTGTAATGGTGGTCCTGCTGAGATCATTGTTCATGGCAAATCTGGTTTCCACATTGATCTGTACCATGGTGACCAGGCGGCTGAGACTCTTGCTGATTTCTTCACCAAGTGTAAGCAAGATCCATCTCATTGGGATCAGATCTCTTTGGGAGGGCTTCAGAGGATACATGAGAAGTAAGTATAAACTATGGCTTTTACACTATCGTTTCTCAAGCTTTATAATGCAAATTCTTATATCTCTTTTTGTGGTCCTATAGTATAAACTATACATAACTCATGTTTTGTAATTCCTCTGTTTTACCTTTAAAGTTTAAAAATTTTCAACTACCTTTTGGTGGTGATATCTCTTGTATTTACACCATTTAGGCTTGCATTTAGTGCATGTTTTGGTTCTCTTTTGCATGTTTTCCTTATCTTTTGTCCTATTTTCTTTTCTTTTTAGACTTAGGTTGTATTTAGGATATATTTTGCATTTTCTATGCATTATGGATATTTTTAGGTACCTATGGGCTATAAGGAGCATGGAGAAGCTTTGGGGATGATCTAGGAAGCTAGCTGGGCAAAGGAGAGCAAAAGGGACCAAGGCAGACGATCTCTGCAGAGCATATCGATCAAGACACAAGGCCTATCGGTCAAGGAGTGACTGATAGAAGGACGATCGACCAAACCTATCGGTCAGAGAAGTGACCAATAGAAGTGTACCGTATGTATTTCGGTCACCCTATCGGTCATCTTCTAGACCGATAGGATCCCTATTGATCACCCTATCGGTCACAACTGACGGATAGGAACCCAGTCCGGAACTGCCTTTTATTACTCTTTTGCCATTACTTTAAGGCTTCCTTCTTTTATGTAAAAATACCCCTTTTCTGGGATTTTCGACAAGTCAGGTCATAACACTGTTCTTAAGTTATTTTCTGGGTTTGTAAGACCAATTTCTTGGTTTATTTAATATAAGTTTGTATTTGCCATTAATCTTTCTCTAATCTCTCTTTTAATCATGATTAGCATCTTTTCCTCTTGTGATTTGGTGTTAAACATGAGTATTAGTGAGTAGTTTGCTTAGGGGTCTTAGATGTAGTAGATTAAGGGGACTTAGGGATTGATTAAAGTTTGTTTAGTGTTTAATAACATGCGTTCCTCTCTATTGATTTGTTTCTAAGCTAGATTTGTCTTGATCATACTTATCTAGGATTTGAGCTTTCTCTTATGCCCACCAAGTGTTTGATGAAATGCTGATCTTGTCTGATAGAGGATTTTCTGGCCTTGGCTTAAGAGATTCACTGTTTGAGGAGCATTTTGACATGAATAGAGTTGATTGTTATTGCTTGCTGAATGTTTTAGCACTAATAAGAGTTAGTTCTTGTTAAGGTGTTTAATAAAGGGCTATTTACCAAGAGATTGGACTTAGCTTGCTTGTTTGTGAACTCTATGTCTATGAACCACCATTGCTAGCGTGTTTGCTTGATCAATGCTGTTTGAAACAACCTTAGTTAGTCTCTGAATTCCCAAAAGTCAATAACCACATCTAGGAACTTGCTTTCTCTTTTATTGAATTTCGAATTTGCTTAGTACTCTGTTTATTTGCTGTGCTTTACTTCTTTGATCATTACTGAATTGTCTCTTTTAAGTTCTCTTTGGTGATTGATCATTTTAGGTTGCTAGTTTAGTTGATTAGGCAACAAAAACCTTCTTTGCTTGCTAGACTTAAGGACTTCTGCTTGCAACTCTTTTGCTTTCAACAAAACCCTTTTGGATTGAGATAAAACCTTAATACTACAACTGATTCAAATACAGGGGTGACTGAGAAAGAGTAAAAGCCTCTAGTATCAATTTGGCGCCGTTGTCAATTGGGTTTTCTGTTTGAATCATTAGGGCTTGTAGAGTCTTTAAGATCAAGTTTTAGTTTTGAATTTGGTTACTAACTCTGTTTCAACTCTTGGTTTCTCTCTTACAGGTGTATGCATTTAAGGTCTAAAGGCACTGAGAATCTGCATCCTTATCAGAACAGCATCTTGCAACTTGAAAGAGAGCTGAGAGCAAGAAGACAGAGAGAAAGATCACAGCACTATGAGAGACTTGGGATGAACAGTCCGGAACCTGTTATGGATGACATCAGATTTCAGGGTCCTCAAGGAGCTGCTGGCGCTCAGGATATACAAGGACAGCAAGGTGTTCATGGCTTACAAGGTGAGCAGGGACCAAGAGGTGCTGCACAAGCTCCGAGAGCAGCAATACCCATTGGTGCTGGTGATGCACCAAATGCATACAATATCAGAACTGGCATTATTCCACCAGCAGTGCAAAACAACAACATTGAAAGCAAGTCTGGATTGATTTTAATGGTTCAGGGCAGTAAGCTCCATGGTTTGCCACTTGAAGATCCTCAAGATCATTTGGATAATTTTAATAGACTATGCTCACTAACAAAGATCAATGGAGTGAGTGAAGATAGCTTCAAGCTGAGGTTGTTTCCTTTTTCTCTTGGAGACAAAGCACACCACTGGGAGAATAACTTCCCCAAGGAAGCATCACTAGTTGGGATGAGTGCAAGAGAGCCTCCTTAACAAAGTTCTTCTCAATTTCAAGAACTGCAAGAATCAGGAATGAGATTTCAGGGTTTGCACAGAGGAACAAGGAAAGCTTTGGTGAAGCTTGGGAAAGATTCAAGGGCTACACACTGTAATGCCCTCACCATGGCTTCTCACAAGCTTCTCTACAGAGGAGCTTTGCCAAAGATAAGAATGCTTCTGGACACTGCATCAAATAGGAACTTCTTGTAATAGGGTGTAGATGAAGGATTGGAGCTTGTTGAGAATCTAGCTCAGTCTGATGGAAACTACAATGAGGAATATGACAGAGCTCCAAGAAGTGCTAAAGATGAACTGGAGTCTAGTAGGAAAGAGATCAAGGCCTTACATGAGAAGCTGGATATGCTGCTAAGGGAGAAGAAAGAGGTTCATTTTATTGGTGATATGGTTCAGCTTGATGATCAAGATACATGCCAAGTGGAAGAGATGAACTACTTGGGTAATCAAGGTAGATACAATGGATTTGGGAACTACAGACCCAATCCCAACATGTCATACAGAAGCAACAATGTTGCAAATCCACAAGATCAAGTGTACCCACCATAACAACAACAACAAGCTGCTCCAAGACCTTTTGTTCCTTACAACAATCAAGATTTTCAGCGGAGAAACAACTTCCAGCCAAGAGCGCCTTATCATCCTCCAGGATTCAGTGCACAAGCTCCAGCACAAGCTTCTTCCAGCTCTCAAGATCCTAAGCTCAAGACAATGGCTCAGCAGTTGCTTCAGAATCAGACTACCAACAACTTTGAATTGAACAAGAGGTTTGTTGAGGTTCATTACAAAATAGTCTCAGTACATGTTGAAATAACCAACAAGTTTGAAGGGTTGGCTGCAAGAGTCAAAACACTGGTGAACAACAAAGGCATAGCTGGTCCAAAACCTCAAGGACACTTTCCTGGAAAACCAAAAGCTAACCCAAAGGAGTTCTGCAATGCCATGGTCACTGAAGAAGATAGCTTCTCAGCTGAAGAGGAAGCTATCATTGAAGAGTTTCTCTCTCTGTTCACTGAGGATACTGAACTTCAGAGTGGAGGGGAAGAGTTTTTGGAAGTTAATGCTAACCATGGAGTTGCACAAGAAGAATCTCTGGAAGAAGAAGAGTGGTGGGCGCCACGTGAAGTTGTTGATGCTACAAGGGAAGACTTTGTTGAAGTCTCTGATGTCAAGAAGAAAACTCAAGCTGCTGTTCTCCCTATCTATCAGCCCACTATCCGCTTTCCAGGAAGATTCAAAGAGCAGTTAGTACAGAAGTATGAGACCCTCTATGCTTCTCAAATGGAAATCAAAGGTCTGAATGGTCAAGAGGAGCTTAAGAAGCTAAGAGTTAAAGCTGGAGCATCTGAGGTTAAGGAGCTTAACATTAAGAAGCTTGGAGATCCAGGTTGTTTCACTCTACCATGTGAACTTAAAGGGCAGACCTTCAAGAGCTGTCTTTGTGATCTTTGAGCAAGTATCAACCTTCTTCCATCTTCTACTGCCAAGGCTCTTGGCTACACTCAACTTCAAGAGAGTATTCTGTCTCCTACCATAGCTGATGGGACAGTAAAGACACCACTTGGGACTCTCAAAGATGTTCTAATGATGATAGAAGGAGTAGTCATACCAACAGATTTCTTGGTCCTAGATGTTGAAGGAAAGATAAAAAAAACGCCATCATTCTAGGGAGGCCTTTCTTAGCTTCAGCTGGAGCAGTGTTTGATACCAAGGAGTGCAAAATAGAGCTGAGACTAACCAAAGAGAAGGTTCCGAGGTTTGACTCCAAAGGAAATAAGCTAGAGAATGAGCAGGCCTTCTCAATGGAGATCAAGAAGTTGAAGAAAGTAGGGAAGCATTGGCCAAAGTTTGAAGGCTATATTGGTGCAAGTTTTGATGGCTGCTGCTGAACCAAGTTGTTTGCTGATACCACTGAAGAGGAGGTCCTCAAAGTGGGTGTTACTGATTGCATGAATGAGAATCTGTTGGGTAACAAAGAAGATGGGGTTCTCTTGAAGCCCTTTGTTTCTAAGAATGGTGAAGTCCACTACAAGATGAAAGGGAGGAACAAGCCAAAGCCCTTTGCTGTGTTGAAGATTGATGGAGTCACCAGAAAGATCAAAGTGGACATTATAACACCAAGGAGTTCCAAGGCTTCTTCTCATCACCTCCACTAGTGAGGTAAGCAAAGTCAAGCTAAGTGACTTTAAACAAGCATACTTGGGAGGTAGTCCCATGGTATCCTTTATATATATTATGCTTTCTTGATTATTTTTATGCTTAGTTAATGTGTATAGAAGCAGGAATTCAGTTTGGGGATTGAAAAAATGTCTAAGGGACAACGAACAGGTGCATTTTGGCTACTATCGATCACAGTATCGGTCAACACAAGACCGATACAGACCCTCTCGGTCATGCTATCGGTCAACTTGTGATTGATAGTAGTAGAGCCAGAATGCACCAGTCAACATATCGATGATCGATAGGGAAAGGAGTCTGCTAAATGTGAATTATATCGGTCTAGCTATCGATCAGATACTGACCGATGGAAATGCATCGGTTGTATTTTGGTCACTCTATAGGTCTAGAGAGTGACCGATACAAAGCAATCAGATGTATTTCGGTCAGTTTATCGATCAGCTAAAGACCGGTAGGATTCAACAGGATTGTGACCGATAGCCCCACGAGGTAAGTGCTCCATTTTTC